CTCAGCAAACCTGATCAAGCATTTGAATCTAATCATGTTTAGTATTAAATTGAAGCTCATCTTAAGAGCTGTTGAATACATTGGTCTAAGTCGATATTCAATTCAACAAAATTCACTGAATTTCGATAACAAAAAACTCATTTTTTCAGAAAATACAGATTTCTCTTTGATATTTTTGAATCTCAAAGGAGATAAAGAAAAGCAAAGTTACACTTTACACGAACAGATTGAGTCTCAATAATTGCAACCTCATCAAACCAATCAAAATGTTTCTTATCTCTTAACTTATGACAAATACTATGCAAAGGGCAACTCTCATTTTTCACTTGCTTTCCCCATTAAAACCTTATCTCAACTTGAACCTTTACTTCAAACTAAAAAACCACAAAACTTTCCATTTGAAAACAATCAAAAATATCTGGTAACCATTACAACCATAAGACAATTTCTAGTAAATCTGGTCATTTCATCTCATTCTTTGTTAAGCAAATGTTGAAGTGATATTAAAAGATTCTGTGTATAACTAGTATATTGTCCAACAATTTCATGTGTTTAATAGTAATATTAAAGGTTATTTTTAGCGTTCTTTGTGTTCAATAAAAAAAATCAACGGATAATTGAATATTTCTTATCCAGATTCATTGCTGACTTATTGTAACAACAAATAAGGTATCAAAATCATCATCTTCATTCCATCAACTCTGCTTGTTCAACCAACTTCATTCAACATCACCTCAACATTGACCCAACCAAAATCGTCTTGTATATTGTATTACATTGTTAACAGAAGGCCTAAAAGCAAATGTTGTAATAATTGAATAATTCTTATTACAAACTTTAGCTTCTTCCTACTACGATTTTACATTTTAACCTGAAGATCAATTCGTGTCTCAATCAAATATCATGACCAACAACTCATCGCTCATTTTACTGAATCAACTCGACTTCAATGAACTTCTAATTGACAAATATCAACGAAACTTCGAAGTCAATGAAGGCCTTATCCAGAGGATAGTTTTCAAGGTTAATCCACACCCTGGTTTTACTATTAAACAAAACAATGGACCACCAATTATGGAGAAATATTGTAACCTATGTGATCACTTGGCAATACAACCAGTTAAATGTAGTGGATGCTATCTGTTTTATTGTCAAAAATGTGCAATTTTACTGAGTCTTTTGAAACAAGCAACAAAAAACCATGATATTGACATCATTGACCATCATAATCTAATTGGGAAAAAATTCAATTGCATATTCAGTGATTGTAAATGTGAGCAATACTTCGAAACCATCGATTTGGATCAGACAAATGAAATGCAGCTAATAAAGGTAAACTGTATTTATGCTGACTGTCAACAAAATGATTATTACTTAAACATGATAAGCCATATATTGACCTGTAACGTTGATTCAAATTACCGTATTGATCCAAATCTCTTAGAAAATTTCACGATGATGATGATGAAGTTGACCAACATCAATGAGTT